CAAATCAAACAATCTATAACATAAGTCACCCTAAAAACTATGTAGTTAATTAGAAATTAATTGGCAGGATTGAAAACATTACAAAGAGGAACAGTCGGGATTCTTCAACAAGTTAAGCTTACCAGTAACTCCATTTTCAGGTATATATCCCAAAGAACTAAAAGCAAGTGTTTAAATAAACGCTTGTATCGAAATGTTCACAGCAGTATTATTCACAATAGCCTAAAGGTGGAAACAATCACCTAAACATCCATACCAGATGAAGGAATAAATAGAACACAGTAAAATCCAGAGTGGATCATTAATCATAAATGATGAAGTACAGACACACAGTATAAAGTACATAAACTTCTAAAACATTATACCAAATGAAAGAAGACAAAAAGGCCACATACTAGATGATGCATTTTACATGGAATATCCAAAACATATCAATGCAAAGACAGAAAGTGGATTAGTGATTGCCAGAAACTGGAGAAAGGAGGAAATGGGCAAAGACTGCTCAATGGATTCCAGCTCTCTTTCAGATAATGGACTAAGAATTTCTGCTCTTTCTGTTAGCCAGCCAAGATGCCGAAAGGTAAGAAGGCCAATGGCAAGAAAGTGGCCCTGGCCCCTGCTGTCGTGAAGAAGCAGAAGGCCAAGGTGGTAAAACCCCTATTTGAGAAAAGGCCAAAGAATCTTGGCATTGGACAGGACATCCAGCCCAAGAGAGACCTCACCCACTTTATCAAATGGCCCTGCTACATCCAACTGCAACGACAGAGGGCCATCCTGTACAAGCAGCTGAAAGTGTCCCCTGCAATTAACCAGTTCACCTATGCCTTGGACCACCGAACAGCTACCCAGATGCTTAAGCTCGCCCACAAGTACAGACCAGAGAACAAGCAAAGAGAAGCAGAGGCTGTTGGCCCGGGTGGAGAAGAAAGCTGCTGGCAAAGGAGATGTCCCCACTAAGAGGCCACCAGTCCTCAGAGCAGGTGTCAACACTGTCACCACTCTGGTAGAGAACAAGAAGGCTCAGCTCGTGGTGACTGCACATGACATGGACCCCATCGAGCTGGTTGTGTTCCTGCCTGCCCTGTGTCACAAGATGGGGGTCTCTTACCGCATCATCAAGGGGAAGTTCAGGCTGGGGCGTCTGGTCCACAGGAAGACCTGTACCACTGTCACCTTCACGCAAGTCAAATCGGAAGACAAAGGCGTGCTGGCTAAGCTGGTGGAGGCTATCAAGACCAACTACAATGACAGATATGATGAGATCCGCCATCACTGGGAAGGCAACGTTCTGGGTCCAAAATCTGTGGCTCGTATTGGCAAGCTAGAGAAAGCAAAGGCTAAAGAGCTTGCCACTAAACTGGGCTAAGTGTACGCTTGAGTTTTCTGTACATAAAAACAATAAACTCCTTAATCCAGTGTAAAAAAAAAAATTTCTGAACTAGACACTAAGTGCCACTGAAGTAAACACCTTAAATTTTGTTATGCTCCATTTCAATAAATACAAATACCCTCAAAAAATGTAGTTCAAGAACAGACATGTCTATTATATTTTTACATTATATCATATGGTAATAAAGTTGTCCTCTCAGAGTTTAATAAAATACCCAGGGGCCAGGAAAATGGCTCAGGGGATGGGGAGATGGCTCAGTAGAAAAGGTGCCTGCCTGTCAAGCACAAGGGCCTGAGTTCAATCCCCAGTTCCACAAAAAAAAAAGCTACCTGATTACCAACCTTTTCCCTAATCCTATAAGAGATACCTTACCAAACTCACTTCTTTCCTCTAGAAACTTCATTTCCATATGCCTCTTATTCTATCTTACCTTCCTATCAATATTTCATTTTTTCCCTGAAAAAATCTTGTTCAATCATGAGTCAGCTTCCAGCTACCTTGTTCTATGGTCCCCAGATTTATAACTTTAAAGTGACCATGAATTCCTTTTACCTCCCTTACCCAATAACAAGTTATGCCCATTATTTCTACCTGAAACTCTCTCTTAAATCCATTTCTTCCTTGTTGTATACTATATTTCTTCTACAATCACCTATCTCAGTCTAGATTACTACAAAGAAAGCCCATCCACCCATCCCATTTGAAAATTGCAAACTCTACAATTCAACCACAGTCACTATACTCTTTTCTAAAATAGAAATGTAAACATGTTACTTACCTGCTTGAGATTCTTCCATAGTTCCAGAATTTTCAAGATAGTTCTTTGAAATGAACATAGATTATAACCCTTATATGAGCTAGACCTACTGCTCTTGTTGCATTTATAATCCCTCACCTTCCAACTATCACCTCAAACTTAAATACCTGTACATCCTGAAATTCATTGTTTAATTCTGCTATGCTCTTGCACATGCTACCTTCTTCACCCAAAACCATCCATTCCAACCTCACCACCAGCCCCCCTCTTCCAAATTCAACTCATACCTTGGCCTCCAAGTCTTTTCCAAGTTGAAACAGGTGTCTTTCCATGTTCCCATGACAATTTTTCTTCCCTCTTTAGAATGTTTTTAAGGTTAGCGCCTTTAAGACTGCCTTTCATGGACCCAATATTTACACAATACAACTTTAATAAGCCTCCTCTACATGCCTGTTGAAATGAAATCTATCTTTTGCCAACAATACTTTGTAACTAGTACACTTTGCATAGTTACATCTTGATTCTACTTCATTTTGTTAAGTAACTATTCTACCCTTTTTTTTCTGTCAAATTCTAAGGTCAACAAACTATAGCCTATGCTAGTACTAGGAAAATCCATCCCCATTTCTTTGGGTATTATCCAAGGCTACTTTCCCAGGAAGGCCTTTATGACTAGTTAGCTAAGAGATCTTATGGCCTGGAAGCTTAAATAACTTCCTCTCTGACTCCTTAAGCAAAGATTGTTATACCCTGGGGATCTGAGCTACATCGACATTCAATGTCATTATTTCTTCTGAGACCAGCAGAGTATCACTAAAGGTTTTAAATCCCCAGAAAAGTACTATGAGGGACATCTCAAGATTATTAGCACACAAGGAGAGCCAACATTTTGGCCCTAGCCTTCCAAGGTCAATTAAGACTCAGGACGTTTGAGAACTTGTACTGTAATGTCACATAACTCAACAGTGTCCCAAATTTTCTGATCAAGGAGATTATGGGGCCAAAGAGGAAAGTGATCGATGATGTAGAGTGTGCCTAAGGAGAGTCACAAGGAGAGAAAACATTCTCTCAGGCTTTCACAGAGAGCACATTGGCCAAGCAATGGTCGTGACTCATCCACATGGCTGACACTGACAAAGGATCTACAATCTGAGGTACAGGATCTCAGGATAAATCCTGAGGGTATTTGACTGACATTATCAGATCCAAAAGCTACAACTCTTGTTGCATAGGTCTTGCTTTAGGTCTTGGTCTTGGTCTTAACCATCCAGCAGAAAAGTATAAAAACGAAGTATAAGAAGTAAAGCCATGCTGTTATGTTCAGCTGTAGGGGACTCAGGTCAACAATTTCTGACATTGCCAGTAAAGCGGAAGACCCAATACTATTATGGACTACTGGACTCTTTTAGAATATTTTACTGAGTTAACATACCTATAATATTCAAATAACGGAACTAAACAAAAAAAGGGGATACAGATGAATGTCCATTTTGTATCTGTGTATTCAAAATGGTTAGGATATATAGCTACATTCTCTTAATAGAGGTTGAAACTGTCTCATTGCTATTTGTTTCTCAATAAAATTGTGAAAAAAAAATGAATAGAGGGATTTGTTCTAATAGTGTTTGTAAATAGGATAGCATGTCTGCATCTTGTACAGCAAATAACCACTAGGAAGAGAGTATGCAATGTGTTAATTATTGAAACTGTCCTACCAAATTGATTTGAAACTGTCTCATTGCTATGTCTCTCAATAAAATTATGGGGAAAAAAATAAAAAAATTTTTAAAAGATTATTAGCACATAGGAAACTATTCCAAGAGATTTTGCACTATGCATAAAGTGGAAAACAAAGGAAAGAAACTTTAAAGGAATGACTTTAAGACTTGATAACTATATTGGACAGAAGAAACAAAGCTAAAGCGAAAATTTTATTTTTTATTTATTTTGTATTTTAGGGAAGGGTCTACAGGGTGTCCAGGGTCTCACTACTAGATCAGACTCATAGTGATCCGCCTGTTTACAGCCTCCCAAGAGCTGGGATTACAGGTGCATGCCACCATGCCCAGTCTCAATTGCTATCTCAGCACGCCCCACAGGCGGGGCCCGCACGGCAGGCCCAGGGATCGAACCCCTGGCCCCTGTGCCTACTTGCAGGTGCTTTAATCCACTGAGCTATTTGGGTGGCCCTCAAAAATTTTAATCAACAATGTGACTACTTGAATTATCTCTCTCTTTTTTTTCTTTTTTTTTTCTTTTTTGCGGTACCAGGGATTGAACTTAGGACCTTGAGATTGCCAAGCAGGTGCTTATGCCTCTGAGCTATCTCCCTGGCCTGATGTGACTACTTGAATTTGCATTCTTTCCTATAATATACTTTAGACTTCAGTTTTTTATATTTTCCTGGCTTATTGGCTAATTAGTTTCCTAATTGTATCATGCTTGCTATATGGCTAACTCCTGGGAAAGCAAAATATTTCAGAACAGTCCCAACAGAGTCCCAAGCTGAGTATAAGAACAATGTCAGATAGATGGAGATAGAGCACTCACCTGTAGTATCAAGCAGAGAGAGAAGAAAACTAAGATTTCAGGTCCAGAACTGGCTCTAGCCAAATAGGAAGAAGTAGCTACAAATTTGTTTATGGAAGAAGCAGAGGGTCTTTGGTACTCTACATATTCTTTGTGATGTTCAGACAGACCACCATTAGAGTAGCCTCTGGTAAAAGAGTTTCATGAGAAACAAGATCAAAAAGTGAAGAATTAAATGGAGTAGACCCTGCTGGTCTTTGTCTAGGAAAAGTAGTCCTTATTAAAGATGATACTACTTTCCAAAATGGCCCTTATAATACTAACCTTCAGTAACAGAGTTTTCACATCCCACAAGGTTGAGAAGGATATCATCGTCTTTCTCATCTACTTCACAACCCAGTAGCATCCAGCTTTCCACATTTTCACTTTCAGAAATGATGCTTTCTTCCTCTTCACTTGAACTGACCTCTATAATCATGACCTCTCGGATCGCACCTGATCTTTCTTCAGGTTTAGGCTTCTCAATTTCCCATTTGCATTTATCAGTCAACTCATCAGAATAAGAATCAGAAGGGTCTCTGGTCTTCTTCTGTGCTTGGACTCTAATATTCTTTCTTTTACATCTATAAATACTATCTTCGTCAGACAAAGTGATGACATCTGAACCATCTGATAGCTGGATGACCTCACTATCTGAAAGAACAATTAAGTTCTGATGTGATTTAGTACTCAACTCAGAATTCTCAGAGTTCTTTTCTTCATGTGCTTCCTCCCTGATAGCATTACCAAGATCTTGGGCATAGTGAACTTGGCTGTAGAGTTGAAATTCCACCTCACTATCAACACTCAGTTCACTGGATGATTCTTCACGATAAAGATCATCTTCATATGCTTCTATAGTCTCATAACCACCGAACATCATGGAAAGTCAGTAACCTCAATTCTGTAAAAGAGAAAAATCACATAACATTTTAAAAGCTCAGATTTTGTCTGATTAGTTCATTTCACCCCACAGAACCAACTCCTTTGTGAAAGTCATTATTTTTTTCTGACACATTAAAATACATTTTTTCTTTTATAGGATTTTTTCCCCCATGGGTTTCTAACTCCTGTTATAATTACTGTAATGCCATCCATCCTCTCAAGTCAGAATTACTATCAATAGAATTACAATTATTAATGGAAAAAATAATTCATAGGTATAGTGAAAAAGAAACGCCACTTGATATCTACTACTTGACACTGAACATTTGTTCTCCAAGATGTTAAGACTTGTAGAGATTTCAGGTATCTATTGCTATTCCATTTATTACTCATCTTTTCCTTGGTTCTGTATCTTGTCACAAACACAATCTTATAAAGGAATATTACTTCGGGGCCAGGGAGATGATTCAGTAGAATAAGCACTTGCCTGGCAAGCACAAGGGACTGAGTTCATTCCCAGGTTCCACCAAAAAAAAAAAAAGAATTACTTCAACTCTGACTAAATTCACAGCATGAAGCCACCATCATGTTTCTATTTGAATGTAGAAGTTAATTCTCAATTTAGAAATGAATTTCGGGACCAGGGAGATAGCTCAATGGAATAAGCGCTTCCCTGGCAAGCGCAAGGGCCTGAGTTCAAACCCCAGTTCCGCAAAAAAAAAAAAAAAAAACAAGAAGAAGGAGAAGGAGAAGGAGAAGAAGAAATGAATCTCAGGGCTGGCCAGATAGCTCAGTGGATTAAAGCACCTGCTTAGGCAGGCACAGAGATCGGGTTCTATCCACAGCGTGACATGCTGGCCCTGTCCCCGGGGTGCACTGACATGGCAATTGAGACTGGGGGCAAGATAGCATGTGCCTGTAATCACAGCACTTGGGAGGCTGAACACAAGAGGATCACTACGAGTTCAATCTGTATAGTGAGACTCTGTACTAAATACATTAAAAAATAAAAATAAAAAATAAATAAAATGAATCTCAGAGCAAAGAGGTATAGTTTAGTGGCACAGTACATACCTAGCATGTGAAAAGCCTTGTGTTTGATCCTCAGCATGAAAAAAATTTAATCTCACGACTGTCTTATCCTTGGCCAAAAGAATAGTCTTCTAAAATTTTCTGATAAAACTTTATTTCTATATTAGTTATAAAAATATGTATACAATATAAACTTATTGAAACCTAAAATTTAGGCAAAACTCTCAGCTTTGGGAATATGCATAAAGAAAAACATTTCATTTTCCTGCTATGCACAATTAAATTCCAACTATACTATATAGTTGGGATTTAAAACTATACTAAAACACAACTTTACTAAACTAAACTATACTAAAACACAGTTTTAACATTACTTCCTACCAGACTAAATTAAGGGTGTTTTATTTTACACAGGCTTGCATAAGTACTTTATATTTCAAGACATTCATCACATTTCTAAGTACTTATTCAATGTAAGTGTCCCAGTAGTACATATCAGAAACCTCAGAAGGGGCAGGAACCATACCTACTTAGTTATACAATGGATACCAAAGCCAAAGGTAATTTTGAGGGGGATTCCAACATATAGTGGTTGAATTAATCAATCAGTAAATGAATTATACCATCAGGTTTTTGTGCTTTAGGCCTGATAAGTCTAACAGCTTCCTATAATATCAAAATTACAATCAAATAATATCAATTGTCTTCAGGTATTCCACAGAAGACATTTTCATATCAACCAAAAATTGACACAGGAGTTTCAATTATATATTTAGGAAATACTGGTCAAAATGAGATTTCTGGAAAAATAAATCAATTTTTTCAAATATTAAAGATAGCCTTGGCTTTCAGTTTTAGCTACAGAGATAGGAAAAAAGTCATTTTCTTAGTTTCCCAATTCTCTGTACCAAATGTTAGGATTTAGTGATCGTAATGGTAGCTTTTGTGATAGAACCAAATGAGCCAATAAACAAACAAGAGCGCTAAATGCACTAAATTCAAATTGCATTTTTTTTCTTTGCTTTATGGCAATGAAGAAAGCAACTCTTAATACTATTTTTCTTCTAAAGGCCCAATGTATCTGTCTCCTTGTAAAATTATCTTTCAGGTTGCTATACTGTTATTGTCATACAAGTTGAATGTGGCTGTCTGAATAATAATCCTCATAGCATTTATCAGTTTATATTGAAATGTTAGCCTCAGAGGAATTCAAATGAAAAATGAATTCTTTCCTTTTTATTTAATAGGTAAATTAATTCTAAAAGAATTCGGAGGAATTATGCTTCCTTCAAAATCCTCACTGGATCCATCCTGAAGGATCCAGTGTGGACTTAAGATAAAGCATAATTCCAGTGCAGCACAGAAAAAAAATTAAAGAGCTAAATTACAGAGTTACAAATTTGTACTACTCTTGGAGCCATCCCAAAGGACAAGGATTAAGAATAGAGCCATAGGCACACCTATAAATGTATGCCAAAAATAACTACAGAGCCATAATAAAAACTGACTTGCTTGGGTCTAAGGATTTATCTCTTTCTCTGAAATGTAGAAAAATGAATTTAACAATTTAGCCCCTATGGCCTTTAAGAGGATTTTGTACTTCTGTACTTGAAAATTGTGCTTAGGCAAAACTTGAGCTCTTCTATTTATGTAGCTTATATATGCCAGGGTTAAGGTTTGCCTCAGGCTGTTTTGGTTTATGTTACTACCTTAATTACATTCAACGGCATTTTTTTTTTAAGTATATATATCTTGACTCAGAACTGTCTTTCTCAGCTTTTTGATCATTGTACAGGATTCCCAAGTATATTTAACTTGATAACACAAGTCCTCATCAAAGCCCTAAACTTTAAAATCCAAAAGGTACCTTCTGGATTATTTCACACAGCCTCCTTAATGGACATATAGGGCCAAAGAGATAACAAGACCTATCCAAGGAGCTGGTTAAAAACACAGCTAGAAGTGATTCACATTTTCCTGCCTCTCAACCAAACTTCACTATTTATTTTATTTTTGTCACTAAGATTTTACGGATTTTTTTTCCTTTTAATGTATTTGGTACACGATCTTGCTACACAGCTCGGACTCCTAGTGATCCTATGTTCAGCCTTCCTGGCACAGTACGCCAAGGGGCAGGGCTGGCACAGTGTATGCTGTGGGAATCAAACTCCGGTCCCTGTGCTTGCCTAAGCAGGCACTTAGTCCGTTGAGCTATCTTGCTGGCCCTACTCATTATCACTAAGATTTTAAAATAAAAAATTTAAAATAAGTAATATGATGTTATTATATGTTCATGGTTCTACCACCTAAATTTACTTCACACATATCCCTTTTACTTCTCACTGGTGTATAAAAACCATAAAAGAGGCATTTTTAATCGGAAAAGAACATGTTAAAACTCTCAGTTCACTATCCAAAAACCTCCCATGTTGGTACTCAGAGACTTCACCAATTCTTTGGCTGAAAAATGGTTCCTAAACAAGAATATAAAATATCGCTGATGTGTGAAACTTATCTAAAGAATTAAAATGGCTTACCAAACACAAACAGCTACTTTAAAAAACCCTACAAAATTCTTCACATCAAAGAGGTAGCAATTTGTACTCCATTTTTTACTAGACACGGTTTGTTTAAGCTCTTGGAATTTAGTTATATAATCTTTAAAGCAATGCTTTTACTTCAATAATCCACCAACTGGATCATTCCAAGTACTTCGCTCTTATTTCCTTTCAAAGCATTTTTAGCTTAGATGTTCACTCTTAAACATATAGGCATCCACTTCAGGCATATTTACATAAAACAGATTGCTCACTCCCTTGAGTCCTCTCTTCTTTGTTTTTGTTTTGTTTTGTTTGCAGTGTTAGGGACAGAACCCAGCACAGTGAGCATGCTGGGTTAGCACTCTACCACGGAGCTACAACAGCCTTGCCCTACAGCTTGATTTTAAATCCAGTTTTCACTGGAAAGAGACATACATATACTTTATCCTCAACATCTCACCGAAAATAAGTATAAAATTCAAATTTCTATCCATTTTTCAAATATGTCTGCCACTTGAAATCAAATCTAACTGGGACAGAATCCAAATATGGGACACAATAATCACAAAAATGAGGAAGGCACAATTCTGGGGGGGTGGATTATGTTAAATTTACTAAGCTAATTCCCAGCTGTCCTTGGGACACATAAATGCTTTTTAGAAGAACCCTAACTGGAAACATTTCCTTCACCATTTCCTTAATGCTCCTTTTTTTAATGTGTTATGTTGTATCTTTAACTATCACACAACCCCCACATTGAATTATTTCTCAGTTAATTTAACACCCTCAGATTCTCTTAATAGCATTAGTAAAGTGAATCCCAAGCCTTAAGATGTTCTTATCTATACACAGTCCTCTCAAGTCTTTATAATCAAAAGGTCTGAAGAGTCTTGAAAAAGTTATTGAAATAATGTACTCACATAATACTTGGAGAAACAGGGTTCATAGAAATGTATTAAATGAGCCCAAAAAAAGTCCTAAATAAGTACTTAATTCAATTCTAAAATCTGAAATAACCGTAAATTCAGCCTAAAGAAGAGGTATGTACCTAATTCAAATCTGAAATAACTGGAAATTCTGCCTAAAGAAGAGATATGTAGCAGCAGCTACTCAGTGGTGGAGACTTGCTGACTCCCAGCCAAGTTTCTCCAAACATCAGCAGCACCTCCCTCAGTTTAAGACATCAGTCGGCTAAAGGACATGCGGGGTGAAAATATTGGAACAAAATCTAAGTCTCCTTGCTTTACATCAAGGAGGGGACAGTGCTGCTGAAATTGTGCAGGTTCCACAGCTGCAGCTGTTTTTTCTGACAGGAGATGCAGGAGTTTGCGAAGGACTACGAAGTCCTCACAGGCCGAACTCCCCTCCGCGCAGCGCAACGACGGCGTTTCATTCACCGACCGGCTTTTCTAAGACGGAACTCTAAGGGGGAAGCTGTAGTACGTAAATTGGGGAGAAAAGCCACCCCTTTGCAGACCATCAACGCTGAGCCCGTCTGGAATGATGTCCTCGGCCCGTGGAGGGCCAGGACACGGGAACACCGCAGCCTGTCAGCCGAGTCGCGCGGGGCAGAGCGCGGCTTAGGAGCCAGAATCAGCGCCTGGGCACAGGCGAGGTGGCGCCGACGGCGCGGAGGCCGGCGAGAGGGCTCGCGCTACTTCCACGGGCCGGCGGGTAAGACGAGGGGCGGACAAGGGTATCCCAGCCTTGGGAGGCTCGGGGTCTGTCGCACACATACTCACTGACGCCGCTGCGACCAGGAAGCACCAACCAGGAACCAAAACGCGGCAAGGGACGGGGAGGGGCGAGGCCAAATGAGGTAAGGAAGCCGCGTCCGCGCACACCCAGCGGAGGGAGGCACTTCCGGGAAAACACAGCGCTCAGCCGCGTCCTTCCGCCTCCGCCCACCTCTCGAGCCCTCGGGGCGCTTGCGGATCAGTTGTTAACCCTTCTTTTCCTTCCACACGGAGAAGCTGTTGCTTTGCTTTCTTTGCTTTGCTGTTCCCTTTTCACACTTTCGTTTGAAAACACCTAAACTGAGTCTACGATGAGGTAATTTTTGCTCGAATCCGTACAACAAAAGTGTTGTGTACAGGGCAGAAAGGGAGCACGCGCCGGTTGTGCCCGCGAGAAAACTTCGATTCCCATGATTCGCTGGGCGGGTGCAAGAAGGGCTCCGTCCCCTTCCTTCGCCCCTGCGCTACGAGGACACCTTCCCGGTGCCTCGTGCTTGTTCGGTGGCGACGAGGACTCTTACGACAAGTGACTTGGGTGGAACAGCTGGGGACCGCCAGCCTGGGAGAAGGCCCCGTGGAGGCGTCTAGTGTCATCGCCTGTGCTGTGGGTGACTGAGGTGGTCCCTTCCACCTTGTAGGTTAGAGTTGAATTTAGTTTACACGGGACACTTCCGCCCTTCCCTGACTAGGAGGCGGCGGATTAACCCTTTGTGAACAATCCGAGAATTGTGCAACAACTAATGGAATGATTACTGATCCTACTGGTTATTTGGAAGCTTCTGAAAGAGTAAAGATTTTGGTAGGGGCCTATGCCTTTAGTTCCCATTTTCACACTTAAAAAATTCTTAATTGTAGTAAACTCTAAAATACTTAATTGTAGTAAACCCATCTGTGCAATTTTACAAATAACACTTGTAAAATTTTTTAAGTGTGAAAATGGGAACTAAAGACATAATGTTTTGGCTCCTGAAAGCACTCCTAAATGGTAAACTTAATTTTTTTTTCTTTTCACTAACATTTATTGAGCCTCTGTTAAGAACCAAGCAGAACGAGGAAAATGCAGATATGTAATAAGATCATAAAAGTCAGTAATCTCATAGAGCTGAGAATTCAGCTGGAAAGACATGATAATTTGATTATAATGTATATTTAGCCAGAAAAAATACCTAGTAAATTTGATTAACCTTATGGCAAGTCCTAAAAGTGAAAATTCAAGGTACTATGAAAAGGCAAAATTAGAAAACATTTTCCAAATAAAACAGGAATAGAAATGGGTCCTTATGAGGTTGTCCCATTAGCACATTTCTACTGAAGTTTGTGATCTTAAGGGAAACCTTCCAGTCAGCCAGACAAAACAAGCATTCCTTCCCCAGGACCCGCTATAGTAGGAACAAACCTCCTTATGTTCTACATTTGTGTTCAGGTAGACTGTAAAATTCCCTAAAGATACATTCTGATTTAATGTTTATATATTTACTGCCTGATACAGTGGTTAGCAGACAGCAGAGCACTCGCTTCCACTTTAAGAAACAAGAAGCAGAATTGGATCCAACTGTCAGTTTAAAAGGAAAGCCACATCATGATCCCCAGTGACTGGAATGTGGTGTGGTACTGCGTGACATTAGGATGGACATAAAGAACTGCAAAAATCCAAGGATGCAGTGATTTCTCATTAAACACAGTAGTGTATGTACACATACCCCCTGTCTTCACATAGTAATTTCTCAGAAGCTCTTTAAAAATCATGTAATCCAGGTTTATTCCAGTAACAAAAGTCATGAAGAGAGAAATTAGCTCAGTCACCTAGAAGAGGCAGAGCTATGTCTGTAATCCAGGTTTAATTAATTGACATGGCTTAGTTACACACACATATTTATACATACACAGCACACAAGTTTCCTTTCCACTCCAAACATTTTCTGATCCCCACTTAAAATCGTAAGTAGCAGCATGTACACATACCCTTGAAGCCTCTTAGAATATTTTAAAGATACCATTTATTTGAGGAAGGAATGACCTATTCTACCCCCAAGGCATTGGCTGTAGCAGTGGCAGCTCTGCATCAGTACTGAATAGCTAAATTAGGATAAGGGATCAGAACAAAGCAGAAACCTGCTTCAGGGGGCAGGCAAGGTAGTAGGAGATAGACTATACTAGGTTATGGATAAGTGTGGCATATTACTCAGGCTTATCCTCAGGCTAGCCTCAAACTTCAGTAGAAAAAGAGAGGAGCTACCTCTTCAGTGTGTTAAGTCCTAAAACTATAATCATTTTGACCCTTTACAGTTGCATTTGAATTTCTGTTCATTCACTGAGAGCCTACAACTGTATTTATCCAGCTCTCCCTAGCCTCCTCAGATGCCACCTCAGATACATTATCTTACCCAGTCTCACAAAGACTGTAAGAAAGATATTCACCTCATTTCCCTATTGTAGAAATTGAGACTTGGAGAGGCTAAGTACCTTGTATGCTGGGATCTAAATCAAGTCTTACATGTATCCAAGCTGTGCTCTTTTCTCTGTTGTAAGACACATTTCAAAACTAAACTTTATCATGGAGCTGGTAATGATCTATATTTCCAACTAGCATCTAACCTAAGGCCAGGCACTTAGTGGTCTCAAAGTGAACGTTCGTGGAGTAAGTGGATTCAGAATGGGATAGCTGACAGATGAAGACCTGGGTTCAGCATGCATAATGTTTTAGTACAGCAAAAGAGGGCACAGATGGCTGCTTAGAGGAAATAGAGAAGTATACAGAGAAGGATGGGGTCTGGACAGATATAGACAAAGACTAACAAGGGCCAGCAAGATAGCTCAGCAGACTAAGTGCCTGCTTAGGCAAGTGCAGGAACCTGGTTTAATCCCTTGCACTACATGCCCTACTGGCCCCACCCCCGGGCATGCTGAGCCCACTACCAAGACTAGGCATGGTGGCACACACCTATAATCCCAGTGCTGAAGAGGCTGAAAACAGGATGATCACTAAGAGTCTGAGATGCATAGTGAGACCCTGTATCAAATACATTTTTAAAAAAGAAAAAGATTAGCAATCCAGAATTCTAAGAGCATGACATACTAGCTAGCAATTCATAGAACAGGAAATTCAAAAGTCCATGAACTATCCCCGGTTCTGCCAAAAAAAAAAAAAAAAAGTCCATGAACTATAAGAGGTGCTCAACATCACTAATAATCAGTAATATACAAGGAGTCTCATTAACAGTGGATGAGAATACAAGTTGTACAGATATTTGGGGATAACTAGTAGTATTTATCAAAACTTTTAAGTGAAGGCTGAGGATATAACTCAGTGGCAGAAAATCTAGGTTTGATCTCCAGTACTGTGCACACAATAAATTGAATTGTGTTCCTAAGTGTATATTTGTGATTGTATCACAAAATATTGTAATAGAAAAGTGGAAAATAAGTATTCATCGATAAGGAACAAAAGGACACATTTATACTATTTTTTAAGTTATGCTTCTCTTAAGAAGAGATGGAACCATATTTTATTTTTCTGGAAATATCCCCAAAACAAAACATCTACATGAAAAAAGGACAAATTGCTGAATTGCAGGTGTTTTATATACTCATGTTAGCGTTTTTTGTACAAAGTCTTGCTGTGTAGCCCAGGTCTGCCAAACATGCAAACCCAACACATCCTTCTGTGTGCTAGAACTATAGGCATACAGCATTACACTCCACACCTTTGATAAACTTTTTCAAAAAGATTCATGTATATGCTTGAATATAAATATTTGTGTATTTAAATGCATAGAGAAAATACTGAATGTTTTGTTTTCATATATGGTTATGTAACAGAATGTCTGCTTTTTTTAAGGTACACACACTGAAGCACCTGGAGTAAAGGGATATCTTGTCTGAAACTGATATCTCAAGTGGATCAGAAAACAATTATAAATATTAGAAGGGGAGAGAAAGAAAAAGAAGAGTATGGTAAAAAGATAACATGATGAGAATCTGGGTGAAAGGTGTGCAAGAATTCTTTGTACTAATTTTGTAATTGTTCCTTAAATCTGAAGTTATATCAAATAAGGCTGGCCAAATAGCTCAGTGGATTAGGCAGACACAGTGCAGGGGCCTGGAGTTTGATCCCCTGGCCTCCCTGCCAGCCCTGCGTGCCCCCCCCTCCCCCGGGCGCACTGAGATGGCTATTGAGACTGGGCGTGGTGGTGCAAGCCTATACTCCCAGCACTTGGGAAGCTGTAAACAGGAGGATCACTTTGAGTCCATTCTATACAATGAGACCCTGTATACCCTGTCCTAAATACAAAAAAAAAGGAAAAAAAAATCAAAATGTTTAAAAAGAAAAAAATTAAAAAGGAGAAACAAAGAGAATGAGCAATACTTTGCCAGACAGAAAATGCAGGAAGTTCTAGCAGTGGGACAAGATAAGCAAAGGAAATTGCAAAGTGCAAGAGTCTTGTGTGTTAGGGCTGGCCAAATAGTTCAATGGATTAAAACGCCTGCAAGCAGGCGCACAGGACCTGGGTTTGATTCCCGGGCCTGCTGTACCGACCCCACCCCTGGGGCAGGCTGAGACAGTTGAGACTGGGCATGGTGGCATATGCCTGTAATCCTTGCTCTTGGGAGGCTATAAACAGGCTGATCACTATGAGTCCAATCTAGTAGTGAAACCCTGAATACCCTATATACCCTTCCGTAAAATACAAAAAAAAAAAAAAAAGAATTTTATGTTTTGTGAAAAATAGCTAGGGGCTATAAGTAACCAGACATAGTACGATGCTGGAAAGTGAATAAGTTGGATGAGCAGCATGACCCAAGATGGATACATTCCCTTGCTGCCTAATTTTGAAAATTAAGTTTGTTTGTTTGTTTTGAAACAGGGCCTTGCTCAATTGCACAGACTTGCTTGAAACTCCCAGTTCTCCTAGCTCAGCCTCCTGAGTAGCTAGGATTACAGGCATGTATCACCATGCTTGGAAGAAATAACAATTTTATGCCTTCTTTATACTCAGCCTCAAGTCCTAAAATAAGTAACTTAATTTCTTTCTTTCTTTCTTTCTTTCTTTCTTTCTTTCTTTCTTTCTTTTTTACTGGGGCTCAAACTCAGGACCTTGCGCTTGCCAGGCAGGTGCTTAGGCCACTGAGCTATCTCTTCAGCCCCCTTGAGTTTTTATGGTGACTCAATTATTTCATTGGCAGTTTCATATCAAGGCTTCACAGAAGTCACTGAAATCATGGCTGAAAGGAACTTCTAGATCAGTTCCTTCAGTTTACAAAAGGAAAAACCAAAACATAAACTGTAGAAGAAATTTGCAAAGTCCCAGCTAGAGTTGGTATTAAAAACTGGTCCGTCATAATCCATCCATTGTGCTGCACCAAATCTGAATTAAAGGATAAGGCAAAAATAGAGAGTTGGCAAGTGAAAAGGCAGCATGTTACTCTTTAAAGTTTGGATGCTTTTCCTTTGCCTGTAATAGAGACTTAATGTTGGTACAATTTTGCAAAAGTAAATATAGGCACCAGTGTGATTATAGAAACAGTTATCACTTAAGGCCAATATGTTGCAACTAGTAAGCAATATTCAGTTTAAGCTGCTAGGTCTGAAGTTGCAAACAAGGTGATTCTCAGGAATTCTCAATGACATTGGTACCCATCTGGATTTGTTGAAAAGTTTAACATCCTTTTTTATTATTCATGATTTTGCAGTTCTTCAAATTGCAAGGTGATAGAAAGAGCCCACAATTTTCATCCAGACTCGGAAATCATTCTTGAAAATTTGGACATTCATATAAATGGCTTTTAAATTTTCTTAGAGAGTGCATTTTCTTATAAAATCATGAAATGTATAATATATATACTATAAATTAAGCTATATAAATGATAATCTCATTACAATAAAATGATATGGATAAAGTACTGATATTTCTAGGACTCCATTTCCTTTGTTATTATTCCTAATTGGAATTGTATTTCTCAAAAACTAGAGCTAAGTGACGATATAATGAACACTGACTAGCAAAACTATTGATATTCTAATTTATGTAAGAATCAATAGAGGTAGGGATGTAGCTCAGTGGTAGATCATTTTCATTTAGCAGGCATAGAGGCTTTTTAAAAAATCAGATGTCATACAAGATATCTTGAAGCATGTATCAGAAACTAATTCCAAAGGCATGAAATCCATGTGCCTTGCATCCATAGATTCCAACACACGATAAGAAATGCATGCTTAAAAAGGGAAGGCTTTATTTAGATCTCATTCTGTAGAGAACAGCTCTATTTGGCTGCCTGTTCATGGCCCCTAAAATCATACATAGCTGCAGTTTTCAGTTGAGATGTGCTTTGTGACAATGTTAGCATAACTTATTTTACTTCAGACTTTAGATTGACAAGAGAAAAAGGAGAGTAACTAAATTTACACTAACAAATGAGCTATATGCAGCTTATGATAATTTAAGCATAATTTCATGGAATAAACTATAGATTGAATGTGTTTCAACCATTATCTTTTTTTTTTAACTAACTTGGAAAAACCATGGGCATTGTGGGGCTTAAAAAGAATTGTCTCTATTTGGATATATCTTTCTCTGCCAATATTCTGAATCTGACACTCTTCTCCCACTGATGCATCTGCATTCGGGTGTTACACAGAAATATCATTTGTCCTTGAGGTATACGTCCCAAAACCTCCAAGGGATGCTTGAAATTGCAGATAGTACCTGTTATGATTTGTGTCTAGTTATGCAGTTATGGGGTGGGGACTTCTAGACTTTGTGATTAATTCATGATCCAAGGCTGGGATGTGTCTGAGTACTGCTGGGATTATGGGTGCAAGTGCTACCCACTGCCTGAGGCAGATAGCCTGAATGCAACATAAGAGAGACAGACTTGCTCTCTGCAGCCATTGTTGCTGCTACTCCCTTTGCTCTCTACTCTTTGCCACCACCATGAAAGCTTGCTCCCTGCCATGTGCCACTCTGCCTTGGAGCCAGCTGAGTATAGACTGAAACCTCCAGTAACTGTGAGCTAAATAAACCTTACCTTCCTTTATTTTGAGTGTCAGGTATTTGTCCCAGCCATAAGCAAAAAGTAACTGAGATAATACCAAACTCTACATATAAATACTGTAATAAAATTGAACTTAAACTTCAAGTTAACAAAAACTAATAATAGAGCTATTATAATACACACTTGTAAATGTTACTTAAAACAAGAATTTATTTCTGCAATTTCCCAGTTAGTATTTTCAGACTAGGTTTAACAGCATGTGACCGAAACTGTACAAAGAGGAACTGCAGAGAACTACTGTAGTTCTTCCATCAGACCTAGTTACTACAAAAGATTTTGCTTCTCTCACCGATACCTTGAACTTCATACTTCTTAAGTAGTACATGGTTAAAGCAGTTTACATTCATGCTTCGCTACTAGAAAGATCTACTAAAATCCTGGAACCATTGCAGATTTTCTTCAAAAACCTCAGTGTTTATCCCTCTAGAATAATGTTTTTTCTCTGTGTTGTTGCTGTTGCTCAACAGAACTTTCTCTTCTGTGCTTATGCTCAGCTAAGTGGAAGCAGGTGTCTTGTCTTGATTTTTAGAGACAGTGAGGAAGTCTGCCTATCTGTATATTACCCAAAGAAAGTTCTAGGCTGCTTAGGGAACACAAAAATTTATTATGCCCAGGTAGTGTTATCAAAGGCTTCAGTTCCTATCTTCAAAGACCTTCTGATAAAAACCTTGACCAGATTAAAACTGGATAAACTTAAGTGAGTCCAGGGCAGTACTAGGCTTCTCTAGAAGTTATGTTGGGCAATAAGGTAAATGGCATGAATCTGAGTAGAAAAGCAGTAAGAGGCCACAGCACTACAGGAGGTGAGAATCAGCAGTGCAACCCACAGATAATGCAGGACCACAAGGATCTCACGTAGTACTAGAACTATAATAAACAGACCAGAACTATATATAGAATTAATGGTCAAAAGTAAACAGCCTTGTACATTTGATGTATGACATAGATGTTATTTTAAACCAGGAGGGAAATAATGGAATGTTCAATAAATGGGCACCAAAACCACTAGAAACGTAAAGTTAGATCTTATACCACCCAAAAGCTAAATTACTGATAAATAAAAAGTTTAAGTTTATTAGGAAATACAAGGTCATTGTTTAGGGAGGAAGGTACTATACACACAGTTAAAACTCGAACTATGGAGAAGGAGAAAATATCACATGTAAGAAATCATATAAGGGGTAATCAAAATATATGGTAAATATTTACATTTTTTAAAGTATTACACTAAAAAGAGTATCATTAATTATCAATAATTCCCTTAAAACTACCGCCCCTGCCCCTGCTTTGTTTTTGTTTGTTTGTTGGTGGAACCAGGCATTGAACTCAGGCCCTTGTGCTTGCCAGGCAAGCACTTATTCTACTGAGCCATCTCCCCTACCCACCCTTGATTTGAACACACTTGTCCCATCATCCTTTTTATTTCCTGAATCCATTCTGGAAATTCTTTTTTGTGACTGTCTTAAGGAGTTGCCAAAAATGTAGTGAATGCTCCTGCAAAGTACTGCCTAACAGAAAGGCAGTCTCATAAAAACATTTTGTGTGTCCTCATCTACTTTATTCCTTGTATTTGGCATCATGTCATTTCTGATTCTCACCCCAAAGTAAAAATGACTACGAAAGGTAAACATTTTGAATTAAGTAAGGACTTTAAGGCAGCTACAACAACACAACTAAAGACAGTCACAAAAGAAGTCTTCCAGAACTGCTTCAGAAAGTGGCAAGGACAATGGTATATGTGTGCTTTAGGCAGGAGTATTTTGAGGGGCATTAATAGCCATGTGTCTTACCATAATTTTTTTAAAAAATTTAAACAGCCATATTTTAAATCACTTCCCACAAATCAACTAGAGAATTAAACACTACCTAGAAAAAAGAGCCAAGGATTTGGAACAGATAGAGATGGAGATCTTAAAGTGGCCAATTAACATAAGATAAACTTCCTAATACATAAATGAAAATTAAAAACATGATTTTTGATCAGAGTCACAAATTTTGAAAGATTGATAATAATCATGTTTATCCATTCAAATAGGTATTTGTGGAGTATCTACACTTCACACATGTAAAATAATCAAGTTTGATTTCTGTGTTTATAGAGGTCCTAAACAACTGATATAGATGTTAAACAAGCATAGTTAAAAACAATGCAAAATCATCTCTTAGATAAATGCTATACAAGACAGGCTCTGAAAAACTTTAGTAGGGGTATTACCCTACTCAGGAGGGTTATGGAATGCTTCCACAAAGAAATGACATGAGATCTGAGGGATAGTTAGAAATAATTGGGGAAGGGGGACACAAAGGGTAAAGTATTTGAAGTAGAGGAAATAACACATGAAAGTTCCTGGCATAGATCACTAAAGACTGAAAGAAGGCCAGTGGCTGGAGAATAGAGTGAGTGAAAGAAGGAGGGATCCTCATTCGACTGTAAAATCTTCATTTTTATTTTGGACAATTTTTATTCATTTAACTTTGTAAATTATTTACAATGTGCAATCTATTATTAATCTCATGCTATGTATTCATTTAAGAACTATTTCTCTAAAATTCACTCTGTCTTCATCTTATATCTTTCACATTTCAGTATTTGTCTACAATTTTTAATGTTCTATATAATTGATTTTTGATAAAGTTAATGGGAAATTTTTTTTTAATTTTAAAGCACTGGAAAGGCTGGAGACATAAGAAGGGACATACACTGGGCTTTGAAGAAATTTGATCTTCATTTAAGGAGCAATGGGAAAATAGTATTAGACAAGATAATTTGTTTGGACTTTCATGCACTATTGGAAGAGAATAAATTGTTGAAGTCATTTAGAAAAGCAATTTGGCTACTGTATCAAATACTGTCTAGTACATTGACCTTTAACATAGAGTATCCTTTCTAGGAATATCATCCACAGGTATACACATTCAGTTACAAATTCATTTTGGCAATAGCAAAAAAATAAGTTAATGTCTATTAATAAGCAATTGACTAATAGCATAATGATAGTGAAAAACTTATGTTTCTTAAGACAATTTTCACCTCAGCTACTTTGAAGCTGGCATTAAATGCACACATTTATATTGTTAAACTTTTATTATTATGAAGTATCTTTACAATATTTTTATTTTTGTGATATTAATATACACTTAAGTCATCTTACTATTTTGTTATTGCTTTGGTGAATGATGATGGGAAGTGATAATCCTTCTGTTTAGATAATATGGCCTTTTTTTAATCCTTTAATTAGGGTTTGTCTATTTAAGTGTTGAAGTTTGAACCCAGGTGTTGCACATGCTAGGCAAGTACTCCAAGGCTTCTTTATCATCTCACTTTCAACTTGTTTTTATACAAAGTTTGTATCTTTCAGACAAAATATAGTGCTGTATTTTTTTTTCTAGGTTTTTGACAGGAAACTCGCATATGATCATTTTAAAGAACACACTCTCTCTAGTTTTCGAAATTCATCATCCCCAAAGCATTCTACATATGTATACATATATATTCCACAGTTTATCCACTGAGGGATACAGTGTGATGTGATGATTGCCATCTTGATCATAAGCATCAGCTTGCCCGTCACGTGACCCTGGCACCCACCCAAACCCTATAGGATGAGCAAAGTCATGCACATGCCACCAGACCTGGCTTATCTTTTTAATCAGTGCCATTCTAACTATAGCCAAGCACCATTCCTTGAAGACACTGTTCTCTTTGTTTAATAATCTTAGCATCCTTGTTGAAGATCAATTAACCATAGGTGCTTGTGTATATTTTTGTACTCTTGACTCTATTCTGTTACTCTGT